AAGTTCCAGGTCTGGATGTGGAGTGGTGGCTCCTTAACTCTTCCAACTTGTGTGTCCTTCCCCTTCACAAGCCGAACTTCCTCAATGGAACATGTTGCTGCCCACAGGAGAGTTACATCCTTTTGGACTCTGCTCTGTCTGCCGGATGAGTTCCAGAGACATACCCAGTCCCCATCTCCATGGTCTAGCAGGTGGTCTTCTGTTCTTCCTTTGAATTAACAGCAGTTTCTGCTATGGGCTCAAGAAGCCTATCTGAAGAAAGTTTTAGAAACTTCTTTAGATGACTCTGTTGTTCCTGTGAAAATTTTTTGGGGTCTTTTGGTTTTTTTTTTAATTTTTTTTTTATCAAAAAGTTCTCAGTGGTCTCAGGTCTGCCTACATGGTTTAATCTGCTCTGCCCCACAAATATTTGAATGAAACAGGAGGCACAGTCTGCAACCAAGTGAAAGCTTTCTGATTTAAAGTCTAGTCAATTGTTAATACTGTAGTGTATGGGCAGAGCTTTCCTGGCAGCTTTTGTAGTTTTGTACTTGCTTTCAGTAGTTGTTTATTTTTTTCCTAAATGTTACTCTCCCATTTATTTGGGAGAAAATGTGGCTATGCTCTGCTATAATACCATGAGTACTTGTTGCTGCTTTGCTGGTGAGGAAGATGGCTCTGCTCTTCCCTGGTAGCTTGTCTTCCATGCCTTTCCCTTTTCTTGTGCTTTGTAAGCACTTAAACAGCTACGCGTAGACCACAGTTAAAGACTGATCTGCATTAAAACTAACTGGGCTTTTGTTCTAGGTTGGAGTGAAGCTACACAAAAAGGCCTGAAATCTAGTGTTCTGCCACCACTGAAAGAATTGGTTGTGTGCTCTTCACCTTTCCTCTGTGCAGGGAGTAAAAAATGCCAAGCTGGGAGGGGAGAGTGGTTCCTGGGTTTTCCCAGCCCCCTGCCCCAGCTGGATTGCTGGCCATGGTGTGAGTCCTTGATGCTCTTCTGGTGCTCGTGGGCTCTGACCTGAGCTATCTCAGCACCCTGACCCACCAGAATTCCCTCACTACTTTGTGGAGTTTTCTTCCCGGGTTGAAGACCAGCGTTAGCGGCGTGGAGAAAGCAGGGCTGTCACAGCCCTCAGTTTGGTTTGGATGGCTAGCTTCAACCCAGCTTGGTTACTTCAGCTGGGCTGCTATGTAAATGTTTTCTAGAAGGAGGAAAAATGTTTGGATGAAAATGAATAGGCGGGTGCCAAAGGAGGACAGGAGAGCTTTGGCAGTAATGCTGGTTTAATATGCACAGGGAGTTGGAGTATAAGGAAAGTAATGCTGCTGATCTTGTGCACACAAGTGGTCAAAGTAGTAAAGGATACTATATGAAACAACAGTGCAGTAAAGATGTTTGTTACAGTAAATCCTAAAAAAAGTAGCAGGTTTTATTAATATATAATTAGAGTTTGTTGACAGATAAGGTTTTTTAGCCGTTGGTTTTCCTTTTAAAATTATGATGGAAGCTTAAATTACCCAGAACTAGGCAAGGGAAGGAGGATCTCCTCATAACTAGTATGTGGGCAAGTGGTTGGTTGGTTTGGTGGTGGGTTTTTTTTGCTCAATCTATTCCTGAAAAGAAGACAGCTAGATCCTCGATTATAAACATGGCCGTGGTGACGTGAGCTTAATCCTTCTTCCCATGGGGAAAAAAACCCACCAAAAAACCTTAACTGTGTAACATAAAATCTCTCATGTCCGTATCGCTTGATAACTGCTAAATTAGCAACTCCTGTGTGTTTGAAGTGTGTACCTTGCCCATTGCTGTGATACACTGCACACGGTTGTGTGTATGGTGCGTCACGTAGGGAGCGTTCACTTAACAGCACGTAGAGTAGTGGGAAGGGAACTGCATTGGTTGAGTGAATTATGGTTGCCTTGGGAACTATTATTTTGAATTTTTGCCTATAGACAGTTAAATTTGTGGTGAAGAACACCTGATATTTTCTTAGTATTCCTTGTAATCTATGAAAAAAGACTGGATACTTATGCTAGTTATGTATTCGGTGTTTGATAAGGACTAAGGTTGGGGTTTTTTTTTCTTGCAATAGTTTGTTATTGGTGTTGCATTTGATAAATGTAGAACCATGATCCTCTGGGAAGCACACAGACAAACTGCCTCCGTATCTTGTCTTCTGTACAGAATGGGAAAGAGAATGGAAATTATTTGGTCTGTGTTCCTTGTGCATATTTTTTTTACTATGCTAAAACAATTTGCTTTCACTCCGCTGTTACGTATGCAAACATGGTGAGTTTGCAATTTTAGATGATTAATTTTTCCGCTTACCTTTGTTAATGATAGCTTTCGTACAGATTAATCTCTTTTTCTTTGCTCCATGACATTTTTTAAGGCAAGCTCTAGCTCACTAAGCTTAAACAAAAGACTGTTTGTCAGCACTAAATGCCGTGCTGAGTGATTTTTGTAATTCTTTGCTTTACAGCGAAACAAACCTTTCAATTTTAGAGACAATGTAGAGTGTCAGAGCGTAAGAAAATGGGGAGTGCTTAAAATGAATGACACTATTTTACTGAAATGGTAGCAAAATTGAAAGATGGCAATTAATTAGGAGAATTGCAGTACAGGAAGTTCACCTACGTGCAGCTGTGGTGTTTCATTTGACAATATGCCAGCAGTATGGGACAGATCTTGGGCATACGTATGCTTCTGGGGAGGCTTTTCTAGCAAATGAGAGAAACCATGTTTGGCATCAGGACTTTTTTAAGGACTTTTTAAGTGACCTTCCAGGGGGCCTACGGGAAAGATGGGGAGGGACTCTCTATCAGGGAGTGTAGTAGTAGGGTGAGGGGTAACAGTTTTAAACTGAAAAAGGGTAAGTTTAGATCAGATATTGGGAAGAAATTCTTTCCTGTGAGGGTGGTGAGGCACTGGAACAGGTTGCCCATGAGAAATTGTGGATGACCCTTCCCTGGAGGGGTTCAAGGTCAGGCTGGATGGGGCTTTGAGTAATGTGGTCCAGTGAAAGGTGTCCCTGCTCATGGCAGGGGGGTTGGGACTAGATGATCTTGAAGGTCCCTTCCAACCCGAACCTTCTGCTGTTGATCCTTGTGAGTTTCAGTTGCCTGGAATAGTTGATGTGTGCTGGTATGTACTGAGCAAAAAGGGATGGGAGAGCACAGAACACAAGGAAATGGACTAGGGGGTAGTAGTGGGAGGGGGTAATAGCATGTTTTGGCATCTGAATGAAGTCACAGTTTGCCCGCAGGCAAGCTACTTATCTTCAGCTCAGTCCTTCTGCAAATAAATATATTCTGTACTTGTTAAGCGTTGTCATGTTTAAGGCTGGTAGAGCTGCTGTGATCTGCAGATAGAAGCATGTTTTCTGGTGAATCTCTGCAATGTAACTGAGCTATTTTTGCTTTTCTTTTGATGCTTGATTGGATGCAAAAATTAAGAAAGCCTATTTAGATTTCTAGACTAAGTTTAAAAAGTAATAGCGGCCAGAACCTTTTTCATTGCTGTCCAAATCTTGATAGTACTGCCCTGAAAGCATTGCAATTTATGTCTGGTTTTCATCTCTGCATTCTTTTAACTTTGAAAAGAATCATATGATTGCATAAGACACGTAAGAAATTATGGGTTTTAGGACACAATGCTTTTCTGTGTCATATTAGCATACTTTTGGAAATGAAACACCCCACTGAAATGGGTGTGTGCGGTTTCCTTTCAGTTGTTATGAGCTTCACGTATTGTGCCTTTTTACTGGGCAGCACTGCTGAAGTACATATGTAATCACAGAATGACATGGGGTTGGAAGGGACCTCTGGAGATCATCCAGTCCAACCCCCTGCCAGAGCAGGGCCACCCAGAGCAGGTCCCACAGGAACGTGTCCAGGTGGGTTTGAATGTCTCCAGAGAAGGAGACTCCACCACCTCCCTGGGCAGCCTCTGCCAGGGCTCTGCCACCCTCACAGCAAAGAAGTTCCTCCTCGTCTTTAGGTGGAACTTCTTATGGTCAAGTTTGTGCCCATTTCCTCTTGTCCTGTCCCTGGGCACCACTGAAAAAAGACCAGCCCCATCCTCCTGACACCCTCCCTTGAAGTATTTATGAGCCTTGATCAGATCCCCCCTCAGCCTTCTCTTCTCCAGACTCCAAAGACCCAAGTCCCTCAGCCTCTCCTCCTAAGGGAGATGCTCCAGGCCCCTCATCCTCTTTGTAGCCCTCTGCTGTCCCCTCTCCAGCAGTTCCCTGTCCTTCTGGAACTGGGGAGCCCAGAACTGGTCCCAGTGCTCCAGATGGGGCCTCCCCAGGGCAGAGCAGAGGGGCAGGATGACCTCCCTCCACCTGCTGCTCACACTCTTCCTGATGCCCCCCAGGATGCCCTTGGCCTTCTTGGCCACCAGGGCCCATTGCTGGCTCCTGGGCATCCTGTTGTCCCCCAGGACTCGCAGGTCTTTCTCCTCAGAGCTGCTCTCCAGCAGGTCCCCCCCAACCTGTCCTGGTGTAGGGGGTTCTTCCTCCCCAGGTGCAGCACCCTACACTTGCCCTTGTTGAAGTTCATCAGGTTCCTCTCTGCCCAACTCTCCAGCCTCTCCAGGTCTCACTGTATGGTGGCACAGCCTCCTGGTGTGTCAACCACCCCTCCCAGTTTTGTGTTATCAGCAAACTTGCTGAAGGTACATTCCATCCCTTCATCCAGGTCACTGATGAATATATTGAAGAGGACCCAGTCCTGACCCCTGGGGAACCCCAGGATTAATGCACTGCATAATCATTGTGCTTCCTGATTTGCAAAGTCTCAATAAAACTGGTAGGTTACAGTTCTCTGGCAATTAACCTTTGCTCATAAATACACTGCTAAAATGCGCTCTCACCGAAGCTGCTGGCAGGGAGCCTCATCTTAAAAGGTGCCCAATATGATAACGCCTGGTAAAAGTCTACGGGGAACTCGCTATCAAGCCTGTGGTGGCAGCTTTCATGCTGCTTGTTTGTAAGAGTGTTGAAGACATTCAAGAGGCTTCTGGAAACAAAGCAAGACCTTTATTTCAAGCTATATTTAAAAGATCTGTGTTTCCTGGGCCTAGTGACAGGTACTCTTCACATTTGTTGTTTTGTGATTTTTTTTCAGTCAAGTTAAGTTTACTACATATATATCCATTTTAACTTCAGATTCTTAATGCTTTAATTTTGGCCTCCTAAACACACCAGGAAATAAAATAATTTGAAGTTATTTTAGGGGTTATTTCTTTTGGTATCACCACAAAATTTGCATGGAACATAAGGTTAGAAAGGCTTCATTAAGTGTCAAGGCCCTGGAATCCTCAAACCTATTAGTTTGTTCATGGCAGTGAATACCTTCAGAATGGGTTTAAGAATCAGAAGAACACCTGTGCAGTTTTGTTTTCCAGCTTTTGTGCTACTGTATGTGATGAAAATAACTGAAAATGGCCTGCAAAGGGAGGGAAGGGTGAAAGGAAATGTTCTGATTTTTGGTTTCTATTTTATTTTTAGTTTGTATGAAACTGCTTGAAAGTAGCACATTTGTTTCCAGTTACAGAAAGCAAACCCAGCTGCTTTGAAGTGTTCTGCTGCAATGAATGCCATTGCCAGTTCTTTCCTGGAAAGGTGCTTTAAATGAGGTGTGTGCTAAACAAGCAGTGTTTAAGGCTGACTGTGCAATGATTCCCTTCAACACTCCTTTTTAAGAGAAAAAGAGGATGTACAGATGCGTATGGAATATCTTTCTGTGGTCGACAATGTGAATTTGTTGGCAATCAGAGCATAAATGGCTATCCTAATTGCTACATTGCTACGTTTCTGGCTTCTTAGCCTGTATGTGTCAGTTATTTGAAAAATATACTCCTATCGATGTTCTTTTAGTTCTGCACTGTTAGATCTGCGGGCAGCGTTTGCGTCACATTAATGCCTTTGCTCTTCACTGCACTCTGTGATTTCCTTTGCGCCGGTGAGGATTAGACCCTTTAAAGGGCACTAAATAGTTCTCAAGAAGCAGATTTATCATCAGCTTTCTGATCCTTGTCCATCTTCAGAACAACGTGAAAGTCTAAGTTTTTGGCTTGCTGTGAGTCACGAATAGCAAACGCTGAAAGTGTTGACTGATGATTGAGATATATATGCAAATTTGAAATGCAGACTAATATTAGTCAAATGGTATAGTTTTGCCCTCTTCTCAAGGGACATTTAACATGAGAGCTAGGAACCCGTTCTGAGCCATGCATGGAAAAGTAATTTGACCTTTAAGTGGTTTAGTTTTCTAGATACTAATGATTTTGGGTGACTGCTTGGCATTTTATTTTTATTTTTTTTTCAGTAATGCTACTCAGTACCTCACAATGGTTAGAATGTTCTTCCATACTAATCTTGTTTTGTAATCCATAGTTACATTTGGCAATGGAGTGTTTTCTTCTTGTGGTGAAAAGGTGGTGGCCAATCCAGAGTTAGATATCTGCGTGTTTTAAAATGCTGGTTTTCTAGCAAGCAATGCACTCGCGTGCATGTGTAATATCATTCAACCATTTACCCTTTGTGTGACACGCTGCTTTCATCCAAAACTTAGTTGTGGTTTTTTTCCCCTCTTTCTCTCTAGCTTCTGTTTTGCCGAAACATTCTCTGTGACTCATGGGGATTTTTAGTTATGTGCTATACCTAAGGACTTTGTTAGTTTGATTGTAAAAGTTGCTTTTAGTACTTGGTGTGTTAATCTGATTTCTGTGGTAGCATGCTGTGATCCCTTGTACGTGAGAATTAATTCTGATGTGAAGAAAACAGCTACAGGTCATAGAATAGCTGAGTCTTAAAGTATATTTGTAACGGTGGTTGTGGTGAAGGAAGAAGATGCGCTCGTGTTGCGTGCATCGATTCTAGAGCTTTGGGTAGGATCAACTAAAGGTAGCATAAGCAAATGGTAAGAATGAAGAATATAAATAACTGTTGAACTGTATAAATAATCAAATATCTGTAAATACTTTATGGTCATACTGTTAAAATACTAAGAATGACCTTTGTTTTAGGGAATAGCATGTACAAATGCAAACCAAAAGCAAGTAATTTAAAATTATTTGTCATTACTGAATCTGGTAAATTTTCCACTGTCTGATTTAGATGATTTTCAAACTTGGAGGCAACTATTATTTGGGTTGCAGTTGACCCTAGGAGTCTGACTTTTGGATCCAAGCCCCTTGTGCTTGTCGGTGTAGAACAGGAGGGCTGGGGGTGGTGTGTGTCTGAAATAGTTCCACGTTGTAAGATCTAAGACCCAAGCCCATGCAGGTTGATGAGGAGATGATCAAGCAATCCAGCTCAGGAGGAGAGCTAGTGGCCGCATTATTTGCTGAAACAGTCTGCTTTTGCTATTCCTATTCTTGTGTAATCTTGTATGCAGGTAACCAATTTCACGTTAAGACATTAATGCAATTCTGTTACTAATGTGTCCTTAAGAGTAAGCTGTTTTGTTTGGTGCTGGTTACCAGGGCTGGCATCACTGCAAGCTGTACTAGCATTACTTTGGGAGAAATGCTTTCCGAAGTGGGTATTTCTGGCAGTGACATCAGATAACATTGGATCTTTAAATACCTGCCAATAAGTGAGCTGGGTGTGAGTTTGACTGTCGGTCATCTGAACAGATTCTTTCATGGCTCAGACTTCTTGTGTATCGTGGTGGTTTGACATGGCTTGTGCTCTGGAGGTGAGGGCAATCAGGATGGCACCCTTCACCATCAGGGAGGCCATGGACTGCTCCAGCCTCCTGAGCTAGGAATGGAAACTAGGTAGATGATAGCAGGGCTTTTTCCCCATCCTCCTCCTTCATGCATGAAATACAGCTGTCCTGTAGTTAGCTGCTGTGCAAGGTGGAACCATGATGACTCCAGAGGAATCAGTGTCACCTCAGCATTTGGTCACTGTTTTCAGTGGCACAGTTCCTTAATTACGAATGTCACTTAGTACAGGTCATATAATGGTTCATCATCTTGTTCCAACCCCCTGTGGTGGGCAGGGACACCTACCAAAGGACCAGGTTGCTCAGAGCCCACCCAGCTCTGCTTTTCCTAGCACATAGGAAATGGAATTTGCAAGGACCCCGTCCCCTTGAGTTTATAATGAGTACTCGAGGTGTATACACGTCCCCACGCAGAGTCCTGGCCCCTCCAGTGCCCAAGCAATCCAATGGGGTCAGCAAGTGGGGAAAATGCCTTTTGAAACCCACCTGTTTCCAGCCTCTGACAGTGATACAGTTTTAAGTGGGAATGGGACCATTTCCAGCAACGTCTTTAAGGTTTCTCTTAAAGTGGGAAGTGACTCTGGCTTTGAATCTGTAGGCTTTTTTAATATAAATTGGTCACTCTTACTAGTAAACTTAAGTTGTTGTGTTTTTTTCAAACGAGGGTATTTGGTTTGTGTGTATTGAGGAAAAAATTGAGCTGCACTTTTCACCAGCATAGAGGAGTTATCATTCATCTTGGAAGGGCAGGACTTTGGCTTGGTCCTGGGGTAGGGAGGCTGTTGATTGAGCTTGTGGGATTGTTAAAGCCCATCACTAGACAAATGTTCATTTTTTCCTGAGATTTCCAAAATGAGAATTTGGCAAAAATGAACCTGTTGCATCTGCTCTGGATAGCAAGTCTCTTGAGGCAAGATAAGGGGCTAATCAATGTTGACATGTATGAGAAAAGCCATTATCGTATGTTGGGTTTTTAAAGCGGTTTAACTCTTGCTTTATATTTCAGTAATCTTACATGTCTGTGAACAAGGTGCTCGTATCTTGGGGGGGGAACACAATTTCTTTGTGTGCTGTGCGAACTGGTAATCCATAGCAAGTCAGTGCCTTAATTTGATTTCAGTGCATGATGCCAAAGAGGTTTGATATAAATTCTTACTGAGAGTAAATTCAGCTTAATGTGTTATCTTTTGGTAACTATTTTTTCTTATCCCTCCTGTGCACGTGCAATACCTTCAGTCTGAAAAAAAAAACTTCTGCAACTATATTTTCTTCTTTGGTAATGTTAATGGAAAACAAATCGTACGAGGAGCGATTGAAGGAGCTGGACCGTTTAGTTTGAGGAAGAGGAGGCTGAGGGGAGACCTCATCACTCTCTACAACTACTTGAAAGGACACTGTAGAGAGGTTGGTGCTGGTCTCTTCTCACAGGTAATTAGTGATAGAACAAGAGGGAATGGATTCAAGCTGCAACAGGGTAGGTTTAGACTGGACATTAGGAAGAAATTCTTCACAGAAAGAGTGGTCAGACACTGGAACAGGCTGCCCAGGGAGGTGATTGAGTTGCCATCCTTGGATGAGTTTAAGAGTCGTTTAGATGTGGTACTGAGGGATATGGTGTAGGGGAGAACTTTGTAGAGTAGGGTAGATGGTTGGACTCGATGATCCCAAGGGTCTCTTCCAACCTAGACGGTTCTATAATCAGAAAGCTTTGATAATGTATGTTTTCTGAAAGCTAATAACGTTTTAAAATGTTGTTGCAGTACCTGTTCCAGTCAGCACTGCCACAACTGCTACAATGGAGGTGGTTTCAGCAGAAGTCAACAGCCTGCTCCCTGAGGAGATAATGGACACTGGTATAACTCTGGTGGAAGACGACAGCATAGAGGCAGTTATCGTGTCGTCCCCCATGGCAGATTCTATTCCGATGGAAACAGAACTGGAAGAAATAGTAAACATAAGCTCCACCAGTGACTCCTCAGCTACTACTACGGCCGTAGTCACCACAGAACCAGTCACTGCACCCAGCAATCACTCGGGGGACGTGACGGTGAACACCACAACTCCAAAAACTGATGTGAATGCAGTAGTAAAGCCTACGTTTCCAAGCGGTCTCCATAAACTCGGTGCTCAGACCCCTGTCACTATATCAGCCAATCAAATTATTCTGAACAAGACCGCCGATATTAAAATAGGGAATCAGAGTATTAAACCGGATGGGCAAAAGCTAATTGTGACAACTTTGGGCAAGACTGGCCAGCCTATTGTTTTAGCATTGCCCCACAGCCAACTCCCGCAAGCGCAGAAGGCGACATCCCAGGCCCCAGGTCGAGACTCCAAGGTACAAGGCCAGCAGATCAAAGTTGTCATTGGAGGTCGGTCAGAAGTGAAACCTGTTGTGGGTGTCTCAGCTTTGACGCAAGGAAATCAGCTGATAAACACTGCGGCCCAGCCTTCTGTTTTGCAGACCCAGCAATTAAAAACAGTACAGGTAAAGTGAGTTATGCTGATGAAACATCTTAAAAACAATTTTGTTGCTGCAACTGTTATCCATTTCCTTCACTGACTGACACACAGTTATTTTCAGCCTTTGCATTTATTCCTTGTATTAAAAAATATAATGTTGCTCTTAGCCCATGCTTTCATCTGTGGATGCATTTACCATTTTATGCCCTTTTCCCTCTAGCTACTGTCTAGAAACTTAAGATTTGCCTCAGAGAAAGTGAGCTATTAAAATTCATTAAATTAAAGAGAATTTTCCCATTATTTTCATTCTATAAAAATAAATTCTACGTGCTTTCAGGAAGACTGGATTGAATCTATATGCCTCTTGTTCTTTATTCAAAGTGTATATTGCCTTACTCCTTTATGAAAGAGTAGTTTCTGCCTATTATCTTTAGGTTTTTTTAATAAAATCTCTGGAAAAAAAAAACCTTCCAGCATTTGAAAAAGAACAAAAAGGTATATATTGTCTGATTCAAACTTAGTTAAGCTTGTTAATAGACATTGATAGACGAGATGCTATCGTAAGGTGGATGCTTCAAGATCTTGTTCCTGATCTCTGGCATGGACCTTGAGATATTTGAAACCCCAGAGAATCTGCTGGCATCTGAAAATGTGTTGAAAACACTTGGGTTATGACCCTAAAGGTCTGATTTTCATCTGGTATATGGCAGAACTAAATGCAAGCGACTTTGTTCTAGTTGGCAGTGAGACAGAAATAAGACCTTATGAAAGTGAAGGAGAAGTAGAGCTCAATGCAGGTTATGATGGAAAAATATTTATTTTACAGTCTGAATGAAATGAGAAATTAAGTATGCTAATAAATGTGATTTGCTGCACATGAAAAATGACAAACTATTAAGCATGTTATTAGCTGAATAGTAAGTTCCCCAACTAGTATTTCAAGGCAAGCAAAGGGGAACAACTCTCAAGATGGTTTGTTTTAAAGCTGCAGATGATCCCTGCACTGATTTTTGCTTTCTTCTTTCTCCTTTTTTGTTGCTACGTCATATCTGTGTACAACATGTTTAATAATGTCTGTTCGAAGCATATCAGTTTTCTTAAGTTACTTTTTATTTTTGTACCTTGATTATTAATGATATGGTTGTCATAGCTTTTAAAAAAAGCCTCTGCTCTTGACTAAATAGGAACATTTAAGAGTGGATCAGTTCCTGTTACTTGGCTTCAGTTACTTGCTGCCAAGTGACAGATACTGGAAACTGAGGAGAATGACTTAGCTGGGACGTGCTCTTGCTTGTGTGAGATGACCTGTGCCATCAGTGACTGAAATACAGCGACTTGACAATTGACCTCTGCCGTTTGTCACTAGGAATTCTACAGGTTCCTTAATGGAAGCTGTTACAAATGGACTTGCAGCCATTTGTAATTCTATTTAATTGCAGTTTGAGTAAATTGTCCTGCTTTAGCAGGGGAGTTGGACTAGATGATCTCTAGGGGTCCCTTCCAACTCCGCCAATTCTGTGAAATTTGTTTTGTTGTGGTCTCTTTTTATTAAACTTTTGCTTCCAGTTGCAAAATAGATTGAATTGTTAACACCTGGCATTCCTTTTTTCCTATAAGGAGAGGAGGAAGTAGAAATGAAAAGCAAGAAGGCAATGGTCAGTTGGCTAGAAGTACCTGATACTGCAAGGAAGATGGCTACATTAGCACTTCACAGACATTGCTTTTCCCTCTACTAAAGTATCAGAGGGATATATGAAGCTAGGTGAGAGATTGGATGTGATTGGCTGTGGACTTACTGGAATGGGTCCACGGGAGGGCCACAAAGATGACCAGAGGGCTGGAGAACCTCTGCTGTGAAGACAGGCTGAGAGAGCTGGGGTTGTTCAGCCTGGAGAAGAGAAGGCTCCGGGGAGACCTTGTAGCAGCCTTCCAGTACTTAAAGGGGGCTTAGAAGAAAGCTGGAGAGGGAGTTTTTACAAGGGCGTGTAGAGAAGGGACCCTCTTCAAACTAGAAGAGGGTAGATTTAGATGAGATATCAGGAAGAAATTTTTCACTTTGAGGGTGGCAAGGCCCCATCCCTGGAAGTATTCAAGACTAGGCTGGATGAGGCTTTGAGCATCTAGAGGGAGATGTGCCTGCCCATGGCAGGGGGTATGAACTAAATGACCTTTAAGGTCCCTTCCAACCTAAGCCATTCTATGATTCATGGTCTCCCTATCGTGAATGACAGGAGAAGTAACTCACCCATTGAGTCCCTGGCTTAGCAAATGAAGTCATGTGTTTACCCCATCATCTTGAACAAGCTTCTTAACCTTTTGGTGAGTGGAAAAGGAAGCTGTGAATTCCTCCCTGCCTCCCATGGGTCTTGTGTAAACTCGTCTCTGAATTGTCTGTGAATTGGGTATTTCAGATGCAAGGCAGCACAGCAGTTCAACTTGGTGCTGAAAAGTGAATTGGTAAAAGATTAGATGACAAAGAGCTCTCTTCAGGTCTCCTTACATCCTCGCTGTTGTAGGGGCTTTGCAGGTCATTAGAGAAACTCAATTAGCTTTTCTAGAATTGTGACATTTGAAATCTTAGCACTTGAAAAGGCATAGTTGATAGAGTTGAGCAAAATGTTCCTTGGAACCTGGCTCCCTCTCTGGTTACACTTACAAGGAGAGGCTGAGAGACTTGGGTCTTTTGAGTCTGGAGAAGAGAAGGCTGAGGGGGAATCTGATCAAGGCTTAGAAATACTTCAAGGGAGGGTGTCAGGAGGATGGGGCTGGTCTTTTTTCAGTGGTGCCCAGGGACAGGACAAGGGGAAATGGGCACAAACTTGAATGTAAGAAGCTCCACCTAAAGATGAGGAGGAACTTCTTTGCTGTGAGGGTGGCAGAGCCCTGGCAGAGGCTGCCCAGGGAGGTGGTGGAGTCTCCTTCTCTGGAGACATTCAAACCCACCTGGACATGTTCCTGTGGGACCTGCTCTGGGTGGCCCTGCTCTGGCAGGGGGTTGGACTCCAGAGGTCCTTTCCAATCCCATGTGATTCTGTGAGAGTTATGAGGCTGTGAGGTGTAAAATGTGGCAGAACCTGGGGCTTCATCTATATCTTCAGGGTTACTACTGTCCCTTGGCAGCTTGTCCTGATTTAGTTGAAACCATTGCCCTGGATGTATGGACAAAACTTCTGGACAAGTGCATCTGCTTCCAGCCTGTGGCTCCTGCCTGCGTGCGGGCTTAAAACCAATGCTGTGCCTGCTGGTGTACTTCTTTAATCCAAGTGCATTAAGCAGGAGTTTGGCCCTGCAGATGACTCTCAACCAGATGTCCAGACCCATCGTGGTTCCTGATTTTTCATCTTATGGCAAATAGATATTACATAGGGTGGGCAAGCTGCCATGAGCTCAACTCGGGAGTGGATTTATAGTATGTCAGCTCCTCTGTGGTAGCTGACTATGTGGGTATTCAGTCCAGCAGTAAATGTGAGGTATGAATGTGCCTTTTTCTGTGTTAATAGAATGTGGTTTGACAGCTGAAAACAAAGTCTGGCTGTAGAAACTTGCTCGTTCCTTTTGTTTAATGGAGAACGCTTAGGAAGACACAAAGTGACCCTTTAAATAAAGATGCTTGCAAATAAATCTCTTTAATTCTCAAGGGGGAAGAAGGTTGGTGGTGTGTGCTTATAAATATAGTTATTTTCTTATGGAAGAGCTTGTTGCCCCAGGAAACATTTTTGGAGTCTCGTTTGAAGTGACTTGCAGAGAGCACGCTTGGCTTGCACAGGTAGGGGAATGATATTAAACTGCTGGAGATCAGCGCAGGCAATGGCAGAGGGCTCCAGAGAACGTGCTCTTTCTGAAGCATCAAAGGGGCAGTCTGTCATCTTGATTATTCCTCTGGCTTCTTCAGTCTCTACTGCAATGGCCAGGGAGTCTCCAGCTGATGCCTAGAAGGCTCTCACAGCTCACTGGGGTTATCAGCTCCAGTGGCAAAAACCTCAGCAGGGCTCACAAGGGAGGGCAGGAGTGCACTGCCTGCATCTGGGGGCCAAGGGCTGCTCCTCGCCTATACCCAACCACATCCGAGGTTTGCCGTGTTTCCTAAGCCCTGAAGGGGCTTGTTTGCTAAACCTCATTCTTAATAGACAAACAGTTCACCCAAAAAGCATGGGGGGGATTTATCTGAGGAGGATATTGCAAGTTGAGCCTGAGGGAAGCAGGGCTATTTGTGTTGACCAGCTATCAGTTTGGGATTTTTGCTTTTTTTGTTGGTTTTTTTTTTTTTGAAAAAACAAAACTAGTGAAGGGCCTAGAAGACAAATCATATGAAGAGCGGCTGAAGGAGCTGGGGCTGTTTAGTATGAGGAAGAGGAGGCTGAGGGGAGACCTCATCACTCTCTACAACTTCGTGAAAGGACACTGTAGAGAGGTTGGTGCTGGTCTCTTCTCACAGGTAATAAACAATAGAACGAGAGGGAACGGCTTCAAGCTCCAACAGGGCAGGTTTAGATTGAACATTAGGAAGGAATTTTTCACCCAAAGAGTGGTCGGGCATTGGAACAGGCTGCCCAGGGAGGGTGTGGAGTCACCATCCCTGGCTGTGTTTAAGGGCCGTTTAGATGCAGTGCTGAGGGACATGGTGTAGGGGAGGACTTTGTAGAGCAGGGGAGATGGTTGGACTCGATGATCCCAAGGGTCTCTTCCAACCTCAATGATTCTATGATTTCACGTTAACAGGTAGCTAGTATTTTACACGTATTCATGTTAGTCATCTAAGCACACTTATTGACTGTTACTGGGAAATAATTGCTGCTGTTCAGCGCTGGCTGTTGGATGTTGATCGTGTTCTGAGCCAGACTTTGCCCTTGCTTCAGAGAGTAAAAGCAATAGCAGTCGAGTTACAGTAATACAATAATTATGGCAGGGTAAGATTAATTTCAGCAGAGCACAAATCTCAAACCGAGCAGGTGAAATGGGGGGTATTTATCAGAAATTAAAATGTGTGGAAATTTACCAAAAGGATTACTGGTAAAATATCTGCTCATCTATCATCTGTGTATGCGCCAAGAGAACTGCATCCTTGAAAAGGTAAAATGGCTTCAAGTTAAATTTCTAAACTGGACTGTGAATCAAGTTTTTAAGTAATATCTTTCCAAAAAGAGTGTTTTGGTTTTTTTTCTTCTTCTCAGTTTCATTTTAAGCCTTGACTGTTGTGTGGCACCTCCAGAGCAGTTAGTAAGGGCTGGGTGCAGCATACTGGGACAAATGGCTTTAACCTGCCAGTGGGCTGAGGTGGAGGTTTCATGGGGAGAACGCTTCTACTGGAACTGTGGAGCAACACATGGCTTCCTTTAAAGGTCTCTAAAGGTCTTTTTTTTGATTCTGCCTGATGTCGGAGCTGCTCGTTGCTGGTGTCCCTTGGCCAGGCACAGCTTGGGCATGGAGAGGTGGTGTAAGTAAGTTCACAGATGACACCAAGCTGGGTGGCAGTGTTGATCTGCTGGAGGGTAGAGAGGCTCTGCAGAGAGATCTCGACAGGCTGGATCGATGGGCCAAGACCAATGGGATGAGGTTCAACAAGGCCAAGTGCCGGGTCCTGCCCTTGGGTCCCACCAACCCCCTGCAGCGCTCCAGGCTGGGGGCAGAGTGGCTGGAGCTGCCGGGCAGAAAAGGCCCTGGGGGTGTTGGTGGACAGTGGGCTGAACAGGAGCCAGCAGTGTGCCCAGGTGGCCAAGAAGGCCACCAGCATCCTGGCCTGTATCAGGAACAGCGTGGCGAGTAGGGCCCGAGAGGTGATTGTCCCCCTGTACTTGGCACTGGTGAGGCCTCACCTTGAGTACTGTGTCCAGTTTTGGGCCCCCTACCACAAGAGGGACATTGAGGGGCTGGAGCGGGTCCAGAGAAGGGTGACAAAGCTGGTGAGGGGTCTGGAGAATAAGTCTTATGAGGAGAGGCTGAGGGAACTGGGGTTGTTCAGTCTGGGGAAGAGGAGGCTGAGGGGAGACCTTATTGCTCTCTACAACTCCCTGAAAGGAGGGTGTAGAGAGACTCTTTTCTCAAGTCTCAGGCGACAGGACAAGAGGAAATGGCCTCAAGTTGCCCCAGGGGAGGTTCAGGCTGGATATTAGGAAAAATTTTTTCACGGAAAGGGTTATCAGGCATTGGAATGGGCTGCCCAGGGAGGTGGTTGAGGCCCCATCCCTGGAGGTGTTCAAAAGACGGGTTGATGTAGTGCTGGGAGGTATGGTTTAGTGATGATGTTCCTTGTTTGTTGTGTGGGTGTCTATTTTTGTCAGTTGGGTTGACGGTTGGACAAGATGATCTTTAAGGTCCCTTCCAACCTAGAAGATTCTGTGATTCTGTGTATTCCTTCCATGGAGGCTGGAGGGCTCCAGTGCCATAGCAGGGGGGAGCTCCAGCTTCCCCAGCCACGCTGTGTGTGTGCTGCTGGGGGCTGAAACAGCCTCACACCTGCTCTTTGTGGGGCAGCAGGGGAATTTATGTGCCACTGAATACCTGGAATGTTTTGGTGTTACTCTACTGCAAAGGTGTTTTCAGTCAGCAAATTATATATTGTGTCCAGTTCTGGGCACCTCAATCCAAGAGAGATCTCGAGGTGCTGGAGCGAGGGCAGAGGAGGGCAACAAAACTGGTGAAGGGCCTAGAAGACAAATCACATGAAGAGCGGCTGAAGGAGCTGGGGCTGTTTAGTATGAGGAAGAGGAGGCTGAGGGGAGACCTCATCACTCTCTACAACTACTTGAAAGGACACTGTAGAGAGGTTGGTGCTGGTCTCTTCTCACAGGTAATTAGTGACAGAACAAGAGGGAACGGCTTCAAGCTCCAACAGGGGAGGTTTAGATTGAACATTAGGAAAGAATTTTTCACCAGTCACCATCCCTGGATGTGTTTAAGGGACATTTAGATGGGGTATTGAGGGACATGGTGTAGGGGAGGACTTTGTAGAGTAGGGGAGATGGTTGGACTCGATGATCCCAAGGGTCTCTTCCAACCTCAATGATTCTATGATTCTATGAAAGGGTAACATCCAGCCCACTCAATTGCTTCATTTAAGCACTGGCAACGTTCTCAGGCTGTTAAAAGTAGCTGTCAGCTCTGTATCTTTACAAATCAGTGAGATTTCTCCAGTTACCTACTGGAGTAACAGAGGTGGTTCTGTGTCTTTGGGAGGTGGGTCCCCACATGGATGCCAACGCTGTGTGTCTCTGATGCGGCTGGAGTTGGTGGCTGGTGCCCATGGGATGTGGCTGGGCACGTGTGGATGGGTGGTTAAGTGTAAGGGCTTCAGTAATGCCTTCCAGTGTGCTCACTCGGGCTCAGGGGAGATCCTGGAGATAGTCCACACCTGCAGCAGCCTCTGCAGTGGACAGGTTAAAACAGTCTTTGAAAGAAATCATCCTCTCAACTGAACTGTTCACCAGCTGGATTCTGGTGTATAGAAACTATGAGGATAAATGCATCTGATAGTTAACTTCCATTAGCATGGAAGAGGGGAAAAAGTCTGAGGGGAGACCTTATTGCTCTCTACAACTCCCTGAAAGGAGGGTGTAGAGAGATGGGGGTCGGTCTCTTTTCTCAAGTCACAGGCGACAGGACAAGAGGAAATGGCCTCAAGTTGTGCCAGGGGAGGTTCAGGCTGGATATTAGGAAACATTTTTTCACTGAAAGGGTTCTCAGGCATTGGAATGGGCTGCCCAGGGAGGTGGTTGAGGCCCCATCCCTGGAGGTGTTCAAAAGACGGGTTGATGTAGTGCTGGGAGGTCTGGTTTAGTGATGATGCTCCTTGTTTGTTGTGTGGGTGTCTATTTTTGTCAGTTAGGTTGACGGTTGGACAAGATGATCTTTAAAGGTCCCTTCCAACCTAGAAGAAGATTCTGTGAAAGTCTTATTAAAGATTTAATTATTTTTTTTATTTGAAGACTCTAAAACCTCACTTATAAAAATGTCAAGCTGAAGCATTCTGTCTCATTGAATTGCACGTGCGTATTCCCGGTCCAGCTGTGTTTCAGGAGACTGCATCACGGAAGGAAACCCCCCCCCCCCCCCCCCC